CCTTTATATATATGACATCTTCTTTATCCAATCATTGATTAACAACACTTGGGTGGTTATCAGAGGTGAAAGGTCAGGCTGGGGGAATGATGGAGAGGTTTAGTAAAGGGGATCAAATACACAGTGACAAAAGGAAAGTAGACTTTGGGTGGTGAGCACACAACACAATGTACTGATGATGTGTTACAGAATTGTACACCTGAAACTTATATAACGTTGTTAATCAATGTTACCCCTATGAATTTAATTTTTAAAAAGTGTATCTAGGATGAGAGCTGGTTGAGGGAGCAATAAATTCTAATCAAGCATATTAAGTGAAAGACTCATTAATTAATAGTGAAATTGTTAGCACCCTTCTCCTAAGCAGGTCCCAAGTGGTAGCCAGCATTTTATCCTCTAGGCAGGAGATTGGAGAACCCCGTTCTGGAAAAACTGATTGGACCATGAAAAGGATCCCCTGACAAACTGATGACCTTCAGTGAAGTTCCCTACATGGAACTTCCAATGGCATTTTAGTGTCATGTTCTTAAATACGAATGGATAGGAAAGGCCACCAGGCATGGAGGAAAGCCTATCACATGAAAAGCAGAAACCAAAGCAATCATGTAAGCCAAGAATGGGACACAAAAGACATAGGGACAATGTAATGAGCTGAAGAAAACTTTAAAAAAATATGCTATCATTAATATCCACAGAGAAGTAAAGAAAATATTGTACCTGTGAAACAAGAACAAGGAAAGGGAAAAAGCAGCAAACAAGAAAAAGCCCTTAGAAATTGAACCTGTGTATCAGAAAATAATAATTCAACAAGGATGGAAAGAAAAATAATGACATCACACAGAAAATAGAACAAATAGATATGGAAAAATGTGACAAAAACCAACTGATTCATTCAGAAGTTTTTTGCCTAATAAGAGTTTCATACATTAGGAAGACAGAAAAAAAAACAGAGGGAGAAAAAATAATATAAGAAAACTTCCCAGAACTGAAGGACATGAGTTTTTCTAGTTTTTCTGATGGAAAGTACCCACCTAGTATAATGAGTAGAAAACCAAAATACATACACACTAAAGCCACTGCTCTCCTGATTTTTCTACCTTCCTTACTGTTCCTTTTGTGTTTCCTTCCTGGGTATCTTTTTCTCATTCCACCCGTAATATTATTACTCTGCTTTCTACACTTGACTTTCACCTTTTCTCCCTCCATGTATCATGATATTCAGTCCTATGATTTTAACCACTTCTATACATCGGTGGTTCCAGGTGGGTCAATCCAGTTATCACTTCCTCTTGAACTCCAGACCTGCTTCCTATAACTAACCCTTCCTTTCTAGTACCCAGCAGTCCTCACACATGTCTAAAAGTGAATTTACTTCCATAACTCTTCTTTTTTTGCCTTCTAATGAGCCCATCTATTGTATTTTCTATTATATTAACTGAAAATATCTTCCCTACAATGTTATAAGTTATCAGTTTAGGAGTCTGAGGGTCTCTCTGGGCCCTGTCATCTTCCTCATACCTCACATTTAATCAGTGTGTCCTCGCAAGCCCCAGGAGTCCTGAGATCCCAGGCAACCCTCCTCTTCCTTATTCTTATATATGAGGGACAACCAAGGTTTTTGGACATTTGAGGAGGAAAACTGTAGCATAAAAAAGGTTAACAAAAATAAACAACAATAGTACAAAAATCGACTCTAAGAATAACTTTTTTAAAAACTCATAATAGCCTCGGATTTGAGATGACCTTGCAAATATAAATAAAATCAGAATACTAGGAAAAAGGAACAGGGAACATAAGGAACTTTTAGATGTTAAAAACATGACTGGCAAAATAAAATAATTCTACAGAAGGGTTGAAAGATAAAATAGAGGTAAACTCCAAGAGTTTAGAGGGTAAAAAGACCAAAAGGAGGAAAATACGAAAATAAAAGATGTAAATGTCTAGGTCCTACATTCTGCTAACAGGAATTCCAGAAAAAGAGGGAAGAGAAAAGGAAGAGAAATAGGAAGACGCTATCAAAGAATAATAGAAATGTCCAAGAACTCAATATAATGCTATTCAAAATTAGGGCGTCCTGGGTGCTGAGCAGAAGGCACATAGATATAGATGATACCTATATAGATATATAAATATAGATCATTATGAAATTTTAGAATACCAGGGATAAAAAAATTTTCAGGTCCAGAAAGCCTCTAAAACAAAGAAGCTTGCAGCCTATGAATGAACATCATCAGCATCATCGGATGTTGGAAGAAATAGGGCAATATCTTGAATGATCTGAGAATTATATGTCCAATGAAAATACTAAGAGTTAGGATAAAATCAGCTAATTTCCAGAGGTGCAAGAACTCAGAGAGTTGACCGCTATTTTAAAATCATCATCATGTAACTATAAATAGCTGAAAGACGTTATTCATGTTTGCTGAACATTTGCTAAACATTTTTCAAAATCCTGCAAGCCCTCTTTGCAGTCTTAGTATATGGAATAGAACATTTTCTTTAAATGTTTAGCTGCCTTTGTTTCTTTGTTACCTTTTTTAACACCAAACTCTATTAAAGTCTACTAATCTCTCTGCTTTTCTCTACCCTTTTCTTAGAATTTCCTTTGTGCATTGTTTTAAAAATCTTGTCTGTGGTTAATGATTTCATTCTTTGTATTTTTATCTTAATTTTGTAACTTTCACAACTAATTAAATAACTTTTTATAGTATGTAAGAATATATAAATAACCATATACAATAAAAGTTTTACATTATTAGGGGTGGCTTTTTTCCTATAAATAAAATTTTAATTTTACTAATATGGAAACAGCCTAAATCTTTCTTCTTCCCTCACTTCCTTCCTTCTATCCTTTTTTTTTTTTTTTTTTTTTAACTGGAGAAGGGTTAAA